CTTCACACAATATCAGGTCGTGCGTCTGTCCTACCGCCATCTAGTAGAGGCCTCTCTCTATCCGCGCTTCACACTCATCGGCCAATCACTGGGCTCCATGGCTCTCGCACTAGAGGCCGTTCTCCGCCGCCCGCCCGCTGTTTTCGTGGATACTGCTGGATACGCGTTCTCTTATCCTGTAGTGAAGCTGCTGTTAGGGGGACGAGCAGCAGGAGGAGGAGGGGGAGGGAAGGGGGGAGGGTGTTTGGTGGTGTGCTACACGCACTATCCGACGATCAGTGGCGACATGCTGCAGCGGGTGCAGCAGCGCACTAGCATGTATAACAACGACGATACTGTGGCCAACAGGTGGGTGCATTGAAGGGGGAAGCACGAGATAGGGAAAGACAGGGGGATTCAGGGGTAAGACAGGGGGAAGACAGGGGGAAGACAGTAGGACACGACATGCTGCAGAGAGTGCAGCAGCGCACCAGCATGTATAACAACGATGATAGTGTTGCCAACAGGTGGGCGGGTGGGGTGGGGGCAAGAGGGGAGCAACAGGGGACGTGCAGCAGCGCACCAGCATGTATAACAACAATGCCACTGTTGCCAACAGGTGGGTGCAGGGAGTGGGCGCAAGGAGTGGGGAAGGGCGAGATAGAGGGGAGCAAGGGGGAAGACAGGGGGGCATGGCATGTTGCAGAGGGTGCAGCAGCGAACCAGCATGTATAACAACGACAGTACTGTTGCCAACAGGTGGGTGCAGGGAGTGGGTGCAAGGAGTGGGGAAGGGCGAGATAGAGGGGAGATAGGGGGAAGACAGGGGGAAGACAGGGGGAAGACAGGGGGAAGACAGGGGGAAGACAGGGGGAAGACAGGGGGAAGACAGGAGGACACGACATGCTGCAGAGAGTGCAGCAGCGCACCAGCATGTATAACAACGACAGTACTGTTGCCAACAGGTGAGAGCAGGGAGTGGGCGCAAGGAGTGGGGAAGGGCGAGATAGAGGGGAGATAGGGGGAAGACAGGGGGAAGACAGGGGGAAGACAGGGGGAAGACAGGGGGAAGACAGGGGGAAGACAGGAGGACACGACATGCTGCAGAGAGTGCAGCAGCGCACCAGCATGTATAACAACGACAGTACTGTTGCCAACAGGTGAGAGCAGGGAGTGGGCGCAAGGAGTGGGGAAGGGCGAGATAGAGGGGAGATAGGGGGACGACAGGGGGGCATGGCATGTTGCAGAGAGTGCAGCAGCGCACCAGCATGTATAACAACGATGATACTGTTGCCAACAGGTGGGTGAGTGGGTGGGGACAAGGTGAGGAGATGAGGGGAGAGGAGGGGAGGGAGGGTGTTTGGTGGTGTGTTATACGCACTATCCGACTATCAGTGGAGACATGCTGCAGCGGGTGCAGCAGCGCACTAGCATGTATAACAACGACAGTACTGTCGCAAACAGGTGGGTGCATTGAGGGGGAGTGAAAGGAGTAGGTGCAAGGTGAGGAGAGGAGAGGGCGAAGCGAGTGCAGCAGCGCACCAGCATGTATGATACTGACGGTACTGTGGCAAGCAGGTGGGTGGGTGGGTGGGTGGGTGGGTGAGTGAAAGGAGTAGGTGCAAGGTGAGGAGAGGAGAGGGCGAAGCGAGTGCAGCAGCGCACCAGCATGTATGATACTGACGGTACTGTGGCAAGCAGGTGGGTGGGTGGGTGGGTGGGTGGGTGAGTGAAAGGAGTAGGTGCAAGGTGAGGAGAGGAGAGGGCGAAGCGAGTGCAGCAGCGCACCAGCATGTATGATACTGACGGTACTGTGGCAAGCAGGTGGGTGGGTGGGTGGGTGGGTGAGTGAAAGGAGTAGGTGCAAGGTGAGGAGAGGAGAGGGCGAAGCGAGTGCAGCAGCGCACCAGCATGTATGATACTGACGGTACTGTGGCAAGCAGGTGGGTGGGTGGGTGGGTGGGTGGGTGAGTGAAAGGAGTAGGTGCAAGGTGAGGAGAGGAGAGGGCGAAGCGAGTGCAGCAGCGCACCAGCATGTATGATACTGACGGTACTGTGGCAAGCAGGTGGGTGGGTGGGTGGGTGGGTGAGTGAAAGGAGTAGGTGCAAGGTGAGGAGAGGAGAGGGCGAAGCGAGTGCAGCAGCGCACCAGCATGTATGATACTGACGGTACTGTGGCAAGCAGGTGGGTGGGTGGGTGGGTGGGTGAGTGAAAGGAGTAGGTGCAAGGTGAGGAGAGGAGAGGGCGAAGCGAGTGCAGCAGCGCACCAGCATGTATGATACTGACGGTACTGTGGCAAGCAGGTGGGTGGGTGGGTGGGTGGGTGGGTGAGTGAAAGGAGTAGGTGCAAGGTGAGGAGAGGAGAGGGCGAAGCGAGTGCAGCAGCGCACCAGCATGTATGATACTGACGGTACTGTGGCAAGCAGGTGGGTGGGTGGGTGGGTGGGTGAGTGAAAGGAGTAGGTGCAAGGTGAGGAGAGGAGAGGGCGAAGCGAGTGCAGCAGCGCACCAGCATGTATGATACTGACGGTACTGTGGCAAGCAGGTGGGTGGGTGGGTGGGTGGGTGGGTGAGTGAAAGGAGTAGGTGCAAGGTGAGGAGAGGAGAGGGCGAAGCGAGTGCAGCAGCGCACCAGCATGTATGATACTGACGGTACTGTGGCAAGCAGGTGGGTGGGTGGGTGGGTGGGTGAGTGAAAGGAGTAGGTGCAAGGTGAGGAGAGGAGAGGGCGAAGCGAGTGCAGCAGCGCACCAGCATGTATGATACTGACGGTACTGTGGCAAGCAGGTGGGTGGGTGGGTGGGTGGGTGAGTGAAAGGAGTAGGTGCAAGGTGAGGAGAGGAGAGGGCGAAGCGAGTGCAGCAGCGCACCAGCATGTATGATACTGACGGTACTGTGGCAAGCAGGTGGGTGGGTGGGTGGGTGGGTGAGTGAAAGGAGTAGGTGCAAGGTGAGGAGAGGAGAGGGCGAAGCGAGTGCAGCAGCGCACCAGCATGTATGATACTGACGGTACTGTGGCAAGCAGGTGGGTGGGTGGGTGGGTGGGTGAGTGAAAGGAGTAGGTGCAAGGTGAGGAGAGGAGAGGGCGAAGCGAGTGCAGCAGCGCACCAGCATGTATGATACTGACGGTACTGTGGCAAGCAGGTGGGTGGGTGGGTGGGTGGGTGAGTGAAAGGAGTAGGTGCAAGGTGAGGAGAGGAGAGGGCGAAGCGAGTGCAGCAGCGCACCAGCATGTATGATACTGACGGTACTGTGGCAAGCAGGTGGGTGGGTGGGTGGGTGGGTGAGTGAAAGGAGTAGGTGCAAGGTGAGGAGAGGAGAGGGCGAAGCGAGTGCAGCAGCGCACCAGCATGTATGATACTGACGGTACTGTGGCAAGCAGGTGGGTGGGTGGGTGGGTGGGTGGGTGAAAGGAGTAGGTGCAAGGTGAGGAGAGGAGAGGGCGAAGCGAGTGCAGCAGCGCACCAGCATGTATGATACTGACGGTACTGTGGCAAGCAGGTGGGTGGGTGGGTGGGTGGGTGAGTGAAAGGAGTAGGTGCAAGGTGAGGAGAGGAGAGGGCGAAGCGAGTGCAGCAGCGCACCAGCATGTATGATACTGACGGTACTGTGGCAAGCAGGTGGGTGGGTGGGTGGGTGGGTGAGTGAAAGGAGTAGGTGCAAGGTGAGGAGAGGAGAGGGCGAAGCGAGTGCAGCAGCGCACCAGCATGTATGATACTGACGGTACTGTGGCAAGCAGGTGGGTGGGTGGGTGGGTGGGTGAGTGAAAGGAGTAGGTGCAAGGTGAGGAGAGGAGAGGGCGAAGCGAGTGCAGCAGCGCACCAGCATGTATGATACTGACGGTACTGTGGCAAGCAGGTGGGTGGGTGGGTGGGTGGGTGAGTGAAAGGAGTAGGTGCAAGGTGAGGAGAGGAGAGGGCGAAGCGAGTGCAGCAGCGCACCAGCATGTATGATACTGACGGTACTGTAGCAAGCAGGTGGGTGGGTGGGTGGGTGGGTGAGTGAAAGGAGTAGGTGCAAGGTGAGGAGAGGAGAGGGCGAAGCGAGTGCAGCAGCGCACCAGCATGTATGATACTGACGGTACTGTGGCAAGCAGGTGGGTGGGTGGGTGGGTGGGTGGGTGAGTGAAAGGAGTAGGTGCAAGGTGAGGAGAGGAGAGGGCGAAGCGAGTGCAGCAGCGCACCAGCATGTATGATACTGACGGTACTGTGGCAAGCAGGTGGGTGGGTGGGTGGGTGGGTGGGTGAGTGAAAGGAGTAGGTGCAAGGTGAGGAGAGGAGAGGGCGAAGCGAGTGCAGCAGCGCACCAGCATGTATGATACTGACGGTACTGTGGCAAGCAGGTGGGTGGGTGGGTGGGTGGGTGGGTGAGTGAAAGGAGTAGGTGCAAGGTGAGGAGAGGAGAGGGCGAAGCGAGTGCAGCAGCGCACCAGCATGTATGATACTGACGGTACTGTGGCAAGCAGGTGGGTGGGTGGGTGAGTGAAAGGAGTAGGTGCAAGGTGAGGAGAGGAGAGGGCGAAGCGAGTGCAGCAGCGCACCAGCATGTATGATACTGACGGTACTGTGGCAAGCAGGTGGGTGGGTGGGTGGGTGGGTGAGTGAAAGGAGTAGGTGCAAGGTGAGGAGAGGAGAGGGCGAAGCGAGTGCAGCAGCGCACCAGCATGTATGATACTGACGGTACTGTGGCAAGCAGGTGGGTGGGTGGGTGGGTGGGTGAGTGAAAGGAGTAGGTGCAAGGTGAGGAGAGGAGAGGGCGAAGCGAGTGCAGCAGCGCACCAGCATGTATGATACTGACGGTACTGTGGCAAGCAGGTGGGTGGGTGGGTGGGTGGGTGAGTGAAAGGAGTAGGTGCAAGGTGAGGAGAGGAGAGGGCGAAGCGAGTGCAGCAGCGCACCAGCATGTATGATACTGACGGTACTGTGGCAAGCAGGTGGGTGGGTGGGTGGGTGGGTGAGTGAAAGGAGTAGGTGCAAGGTGAGGAGAGGAGAGGGCGAAGCGAGTGCAGCAGCGCACCAGCATGTATGATAATGACGGTACTGTGGCAAGCAGGTGGGTGGGTGGGAGGGTGGGTGGGCGGGTAGGCACGCTGACGTCACCATGGTCAACTCGAGAGTTCCTTGACCGAGGGGAGGGCCACACACACTCAACCTGCTATCTCGTGTCTTCCTTTCCACTGCCCTCTCACCCCATCCCAGCTCCATCCTTACCTCCTCCAAGCGCTACTATTACCGTTTCTTCGCCTTCCTCCGCGGTTAAGGGGTGGGGGCACACTGAATACATTGCTATGGTCAACTCCCGCCTTGCGTTCTTTTCCACTCCCTCCCTCCCATTCTCTATCCCAGCGCCATCCTTTCCTCCTCCAAGCTTTACTACTACCGCTTCTTTGCCCTCCTGTACGGGTGGGCGGGTGGGCACGCTGACATCACCATGGTCAACTCGTCGTGGACCGAGGGCCACATTCGGCGAATCTGGACGCGCAACAAGCCGAGCTCCGTGCACCGGGTGTACCCTCCATGTGACACCACTGCTCTCCAGGTGAGTTGGTGGTTTAAACCAGAGAATCTGAGTTGGCAACAAGCCGAGCTCCGTGCACCGGGTGTACCCTCCCTGCGACACCGCTGCACTGCAGGTGAGTGTCTGGTTGTTGTTCGAAGTATTACTTGGTTTGCGAAGGTGCCGCAGATTCGATGAATCTGGACGCGCAACAAGCCGAGCTCCGTGCACCGGCTGTACCCTCCATGTGACACCGCTGCTCTCCAGGTATGCACTGCGTGTGCTGTGGTTTTGAACCCGACCAACCTGTGAGAGTAGTGGCGTGTTGTAGATTCGACGAATCTGGACGCGCAACAAGCCGAGCTCTATACACCAGGTTTACCCCCCCTGCAACACCGCTGCTCTCCAGGTCAGTAAATTGCTGCTTCTTGATTGGAATGGATCAAGAGCACAAAGGGAGCGACATCAGCAGATGAAGACACTGGAGTCCCTTCTTTGTGTCCCCCCCCAACCCAACAGCACCTACTCATTTTTCTGGTTCAAAGGTACAGTGTCCTCATCTGCTTATTCAAGTAACGGTTCACTTGTCTAATACAAGCCCAGGGCATGTATCAACCTGCAACAATAAATATTTGCAAGGCTCTTTCGATTTATTATCACCCTCTCCCTCTCAAAACCAGGAGTGTCATTATGTGCAGCCTCTCGATCCCCTCTTTTATCCCTCCTTTCGTCCGTCTTACCCCCCTCCCTTCCAGGCTCTTCCTCTCTCCCGCCCCGCGTCAAAATACATCATCTCCGTTGCCCAGTTCCGACCAGTAAAGATGCGAATCCTTCGCGAAATAAATGGCATTGATCCTCCTTCCTTTCCTCCGCCCTTCCCTCGTGCCTGCCGTCTTCCCTCTCACCCTTCCAGGCTCTTCCTCTCTCCCGCCCCGCATCAAAATACATAATCTCCGTTGCCCAGTTCCGACCAGAAAAGGTACACAGCTCTTGCCCTCTCACACGCTCATTCCTGTACGGTGCAGACTTAGCATAATTTGAGTATCTGCTCCCAAAGAAGTATCTCGCACTCTCATCCCTGTGCTTTCCTGCATCTCACGCACACAGTGAGGTTTATTTTGAGGCGCCTCAAAATAAAGAAGTATATCGCACTCTCATCCCTGTGCTTTCCTGCATCTCACGCACACTCTAGCTATCAATCTCGCCCCGTGTGAAGATATATAATCTCCATTGCCCAGTTGCGACCAGAGAAGTTTCAATTCAAGGCTCGTGCGAAAATAAACTACAGTTATCTTCCAATGTATGAAAAACTAAGCGTGGTGTTTTTGCCGTTCAAGTAAACTAAGCATGGCTTTCATAGAGCGCATCATTCATGAAGGAGTTGCATCCGCCTGGTGTTGCATGCATGTTGCTATCTGCAGCATGAGCGCATCATGCATGAAGGAATCTGAAAAAAGCCAATTGAAAAAAGGAAGGAGTGGCATGCATGTTGCTATCTGCAGCATGTGCGTGTACTGTATTGCGTCCGCGCTTCACTCTTTGGGATGCTTGAAGAGAGGGCATGCACTGCAATGCACACCCAACACACAAGACTTGCGGTGACTTTTGAGTCGACTCATGTTTGAAGAAGTGCTTTGAGACGTCTCAAAACACTTCTTCAAAAACGAGAGGGCATGCACTGCAATGCACACCCAACACACAAGACTTGCATTCCATCCATCCATCCACTGTTAACAATAGCCACGTGTAGCGAGGTTGTTTTTGAGACGTCTCAAAAACAACCTCGCTACACCCAACACACAAGACTTGCACGCCATCCATCCATCCACTGTTAACAATGGTTTCTATCTTAGGATCAAATTGAGTCCCTTTTCCCGGTCATTCTCCCGCCCCTCGCTCTCTCAGAACCACGCATTGCAGCTTCGAGCCTTTGCAAAAGCCATCCCACTTACTTCTCCCCACCCAACCCTCTCCTCGGCCCATTCTCTTCCTCCCTCCACAACCCCCCTCTCTCTCTCAGAACCACGCATTGCAGCTTCGAGCCTTTGCACAGGCCATAAAGCCTGCACCACCATCCGATCCAACGGCTGACGCTCAATCGGAGCCCGATCCGATGGCTGGCGTGCGTTTGAAGCTGGTGGGCAGCAGCCGGCACCGGGAGGACGAGAAGCGGATTGAGCTTCTGGGGTGCCTGGCGGTGTCTCTTGGAGTAGAGAGGCGCGTGGATTTCATTGCCAACACTCCCTTCCGGTGAGTGTGGGGCACAGCACAGCACAGCACCTCAGAGTGTGTGTGTGAGCCCAGTAGGCAGCAGCCGGCACCGGGAGGACGAGAAGCGCATTGAGCTGCTGGGGTGCCTGGCGGTGCCTCTTGGAGTAGAGAGACGCGTGGATTTCATCGTCAACAACACGCCCTTCAGGTAACTTATTCAACGCAGAACAGCGAGGTATGTGTGTGTGTGTGAACCTTGTAGGCAGCAGCAGCCGGCACCAGGAGGAGGAGAAACGTATTCAGCTGTTGGGGTGACTTGCCATGACTCTTGGAATAGAGAGACGCGTTGATTTCATTGTCAACACTCCCTTCAGGTACCTTAGTGCATGGTTCAAGGCACGTGTGTGTGTGTGTGAAGAGCGAAGCTGGTGGGTTTTGTTCACTCAAGACAGACGAGCAGCCGGCACCGGGAGGACAAGAGGCGGATCGAGCTGCTGGGGTGCCTGGCGGTGTCTCTTGGAATCGAGAGACGCGTTGACTTCATTGGTAACACTCCCTTTATTTGAGTGTGAGGTTCAACACTCCCTTGAGGCACAGGGAGGACGAGAAGCGCATTGAACTTCTGGGGTGCCTGGCAGCGTCGTTCTTACAGTAATAGAGAGATGCGTTGACTTCATCGTCAACTCTCCCTTCAGGTGGGGGAGTGGCACAGCACATCACCTCAGAGTGTGTCACGTGTGTGTGAACCCAGTAGGCAGCAGCCGGCACCGGGAGGATGAGAGGCGGATCGAGCTGCTGGGGTGACTGGCAGCGTCTTTCTTACCGTAATAGAGAGACGCGTTGACTTCATCGTCAAGTCTCCCTTCAGGTGGTTTTAGTAATCAGTAGAGCCCAGGAGCTGCAGAGATTGTTTTTTTAACAATTCTAAAAAAGATCCTTGCAGCTCCCTGGAGAAGGAGCTGCACCAGCTACGAGGCGCCTTTTGAGTCGACTCAAAGTCACCTCTTTTGAGTCGACTCAAAAATCACCTCTTTTGAATCGACTCAAAAGTCACCTCTTTTGAATCGACTCAAAAGTCTCCCTGGAGCAGGAGCTGCACCAGCTACGAGGCAGCGCCACCTGCGGGCTACTACTACTCACCATGTGCCTGGGTGTTCATTGCTCCCTATTACCGCATTGCACCCATGTGTTCGCGTTTCTACTCTTCCTTCTACCGCACTGCACCCATGTGTTTGTCATTGCATGGCAGGGAGCTGCAACAGCTGTTAGGCGGCGCCACGTGCGGCATACACACCATGTGGGACGAGCACTTTGGCATCAGCGTGGTCGAATACATGGCAGCAGGGGCTGTTCCCATAGGTGCGTATCCTGGACAGAAGGTGTTTGGATCTGGCGACTTCTAGGGGAAATGGCACCTGTGGGTGGGATACACACCATGTAGGACGAGCACTTTGGCATCAGCGTGGTCGAATACATGGCAGCCGGGGCTGTCCCCATCGGTGGGTCTATTGTAGCGGTACGCTTATTGTACCCAGAGGTCAACTGGTGCCTGGCAACCGGTGCCACCACTCGGGTAGGCACCACCTGTGGGGTACACAGCATGTGGGACGAGATGGGCATCAGCGTCGTTGAATACATGGCAGCCGGGGCTGTTCCCATAGGTGGGTGCATCCGCTGCAAGGTAATGGCTACGACTCGGGTAGGCATCACCTGGTGTAGGCGCCACCTGCGGCATACACACCATGTGGGATGGGCACTTTGGCATCAGCATGGTCGAATACATGGCAGCAGGGGCTGTGCCCATCGGTGGGTGTTTGTTTATCATTCCATACCATAGGATTGCACACCCATCGTGCATGTGGTGCTTCGTGACAGGTAGGGAAGGTGCCTCGTGTAAGGTTAATTACACACCACACCACACCACACCATGTGGGATGAGCAGTTTGGCACCAGTGTAGCTCGAGTGCATGGCAGCCGGAGCATTTTGGCATCAGTGTCTCAAAAATTGCATGGCAGCCGGAGCCCTCCCCATAGGTGGGTGCTGGGTGGCAGCAGGGGCTTGGTGACTGGTACAGTAGGTGCCAGTGCCACCCGTGGGATGCATTACACACCACACCACACCATGTGGGATGAGCATTTTGGCACCAGTGTAGCTCGATTGCATGGTAGGTGCCACCTGCAGGTACATTACATGCCACACACACCCATCGCGCGTGTGGTGCTCCCCTACCTGTAGGGAAGGTGGCGCGTGTGGTGCTCCCGAAAATGGACATTGCAGTGCTGGCTACTTTTGAGTCGACTCGAAAGTCGGCGCGTGTGGTGCTCCTGAAAATGGACATTGCATTCTAGTGCTGGCCTGCCATGCTGGGTACAGGAGAAAAGGAGGACAGGGAAACCCATATCACCCCGTCTTTCTGGGATACGAGGAGGGAGATGAGAAGGACAAGGAAGACCCATCTTACCCACACAATCTTTTTCCTTCTCCTGTGTGTCTCGTTCCGCTGTTCCTTGGTTTGCTCTGCTCTTCCCGGCAGCCCACAACTCTGCCGGCCCCAAAATGGACATTGTCGTGCCAGCCTGCCATGCTGGTCTGGGGAGGAGGGAGATGGCCGTCTCACCCACACTGTTGTGTTTCCATTGCCTCCTCTGTTGCCTCTTGCAGCCCACAACTCTGCCGGCCCCAAAATGGACATTGTCGTGCCGGCCTGCCATGCTGGTTGCAAAGAAGAAGATCGGCAGGAGAAGAGGGGAGGTGAGGAGGGAGATGACCGTCTCACACACCCACACTGCTGTGTTTCCAATATCTGTTCCTCTGTCTGCTCTGTTGCTTCTTGCAGCCCACAACTCTGCCGGCCCGAAAATGGACATTGTCGTGCCGGCCTTTCATGCTGGTCTGGGGAGAAAAGAAGACGGGCAGGAGAAGGGGGGAGAGGTGGGAGATGGGGAGGGAGACAAGGAGGGAGGCGAAGGGGAGCAATCAGAGCCGTTGATTTGGAAGGGCCAGCTAGAAGCGGACTCATCAGGCTGTCCTGTAGGGTATTTGGCGACGACCGAGGACGAATACGCTGCTGCCATGCGGGCGGTTTTCGCCATGTCAGCGGAGGAGAGGGAGCGGATAGCGACAGCTGGCAGGGAGCGGGCCAAGCGATTCTCCGAGGAGAATTTCGATAAGAGCTTCAAGGATGTGTTGCGCCCAGTGCTTGACTACTCTTGAAGAAGACAGAACAATGGCCAGCTGGCTAGTCGGAAGTTATAATGAAATCACTTATGAGAATTCTCAAGACAGAACAATGGCCAGCTGGCTAGTCGGAAGTTATAATGAAATCACTTTTGAGAATTCTCAAGACAGAACAATGGCCAGCTGGCTAGTCAGAAGTTCCCTGAGAATTTTGATAAGAGCTTCAAGGATGTGTTGGGACCTGTGGTTGTATGTTTTTGAGCCAGGCAGAACAATGAGTTATTGTCTTATATTTGGGGATTATTTTTTTCCCCTGGATATAAGTGCACATGCGCTTCTAACAAAACACGTTTTTCCAGGGGGTGTGCTTATAATCTAGTAAATCCTGGCATTACTGAATGATAGATTGAATGTAATGCGCCATAACTATATGATACAGCAGAACATGTCAGTACCGAGGCCCTTCTCAATGCGTACTTTCCTGTTCCTGGCTCCCCTTGCAGCCTTGATTTTGCGTCACCTGCTTCGCTGGCAGTAGTTCCTACCACTAGATAAGTTTCTAAAGACAGTCGTAACCAGAATAGTAGCGTGGCGTCGGTTCGCTAATTGCCCAGGGTTAAGCGTTTACTCGCACTTTTTATGAGAGGTTTGGGCAACCTGCATTGGGTTTGGAATTCTCAAACATTGATAGCTCGTTAACTCGCGTGTGGGCGACGTGCATTACCATGGCGACCCCGGACGACTCGGGTTTCCTCTATCGAACGCTTCGTACCGTTATCGGAACGAGTACATTGAGCGACCCGTTCGTGAGTGATCCGTTAGTGAGTGATCCGTTAGTGAGTGATCCGTTAGTGAGTGATCCGTTAGTGAGTGATCCGTTATTGGCTGATTTGTTATCGACGACGCCCGGTACGAGTGCCTCCTTGCCTGCCGATACTAGTCGAGCGATTGCCGCGTTAGTTGCTGAGCTGGACGCGAGATATTCTTCGGCAGGATCGCCGTCCGCCACGCATCCTTCTGTACCCGATACTAGCGCACGCGCTGCGGCTATAGATGGCGAACACGACGAGGATGACGACAGCGACGGTGACGCGGAGGACGAACTTGTTATTCGCCTCGTCGACATAGTAGATGTGGTAACCACACCTATTGCGAAAAGTACGAATCTCGGTACAACAAACCTCGATATGAATCAGTCAGAAAAAGTAGAAGATGAAGCTCGATCGGACGGCGGACAGGCTTCGTGCGGGGACCAGGGAGCTGCGTCAGCAGACGACGGCGTATCGCAGGATAAGGAAGTGGCTGAGGATAAGAGGAAGAGGAAAGCGCAGGAGGGAGCGGACGGGGAAGCGGCCGCAAAAGCGGGAGAAGCGGGGGAAGCAAGAAGCGGAAAGCTTGCGCGTGTTGCGCCAGTGGCGGAGCCTGAAGCGCCAGTGGCGGAGCCTGAAGCACCAATGGCAGAAACGCGGAGCGGAAAGCCTGCGCCAGCGGCGGACCCTGCAGCGCCGTGGAGCGTGGGCCACCCGGAAGGGCATCCGCGCAGCCCCTTTCTCCGCCTGCATCAAGGCAAGCTTTGAACCTCAACCTCCTTGAGCCCTGAACCTTCTTAAACCTTGAACCCGCGGCCTAATATAAACAGTGCCGTGGAGCTTGGGGCACCCGGAGGGGCATCCGCGCAGCCCCTTCCTGCGCCTGCACCAAGGCAAGAACCCTTCAAAACCCTGAACCCCCTGAAACCCTGCCCCTGAACCAGCAGCGGACCCTGCAGCGCCGTGGAGCGTGGGCCACCAGGAGGGGCATCCGCGCAGCCCCTTCCTGCGCCTGCACCAAGGCAAGCCTTGATATTCCCTTTGGACAACCGTAAACCCTGAACCCTGTGCATGAACAGCCACCATGTCCCCATCACCCGGCCCTTACTAAACACGTAAACCTCAGAAATTGTGGGGTTTTGTCATCTTTTCGAGGCATCGGAGCAGGAGAAGCAGACAAGGGTGGGCAGAGGCAGTGGGGCCGGGATACCATCACCATCACCTGGTGGTTACCACCGTCACCCCCGCCCGCTTCATTTCACCCCTCACGACGACCCCGGCCCTTGCAACATGTGCCGCCTCCGTGTTTCCGCTCATCTTCCCCTTGCCTAACCTTGTTCCCGTCAGTTTGTGGAGGCGTCAGTGCAGAAGAAGCAGGCGAGGACAGGAATACAGTGAGGGTGAGAAGGGTCTTTTTTAACTCCTTCTCACCCTCACTGTATTCCCGTTCATCTTCCCCTTTCCGAACCCCAGAGATTGTGGAGTTCTGCCGGTTCGTTGAAGCGTCGGAGCAGCAGGAGAAGCCGGCACGGGCGGAGGTGGTGGGGCGAACGAATGACCACCCTCAACCTCGTGCTTTTGCAACCCCGTCCCTTTCCCAACACCAGAGATCGTGGAGTTCTGCCGGTTCGTTGAAGCGTCGGAGCAGCAGGAGAAGCCGGCACGGGCGGAGACGGTGGGGCGAACGAATGACCACCCTCAACCTCGTGCTTTTGCAACCCCGTCCCTTTCCCAACACCACACCAGAGATCGTGGAGGCGTCGGAGCAGGGGAAGCAGGCGCGGACAGAGGCAGCGGTGGGGCGGGTGGGGGGTGTCACTGAGAGGACGGCACAGGGCACCAACACGTACAGCCACTGTGGTGTTCCCATCACTCTCCTGCCCTTCTCATACACCAGAGATCGTGGAGTTCTGCCGGTTTGTGGAGGCGTCCGAGCAGGAGAAGCAGGCGCGGGCGGAGGCAGTGGGGCGGGTGACAGGTGTCATTCACAGCACAGGGATCTGAGATGTGGATGTTTCCCACTTTCCCTTCTCTTACCCCAGAAATCGTGGAGTTCTGCCGGTTTGTCGAAGCATCGGAGCAGGAGAAGCAGGCGCGGGCGGAGGCGGTGGGGCGGGTGACAGCTGTCATCCACAGCATCTGGGCGCACTGCCACGTGGAGGTGTTTGGTTCGTACGCCACGGGCGTGTACCTGCCGACCAGTGACGTGGATGTGAGTATCACAATTCACCAAACCAGTTCACTCACACACCACACCACATCACACCAGACCCATCCCTTTGTGAAGCCTTACTGCCGTGGGGAGGTGTGACAGCCCACCATACCAGTTCACGCCCCAGACCCATCTCGTGGGGGAGGGGCAGTGGCACGTGGGGAGGTGTTTGGTTCATACGCCACGGGCGTGTACCTGCGGACCAGCGACGTGGATGTGAGTACCAGCTCACACCCCATAACCATTTCCTGGTGAAGCCGCACTGCCAGCCACGTGGGGAGGTGTTTGGTTCATACGCCACGGGCGTGTACCTGCGGACCAGCGACGTGGATGTAAGTGCAGTGTAGGGCACGGTGGCCGTGGTACTGGGGGCATCTGGGCAAGGCAAGCTCCCCCACCCCATGGCCGTGGTACTGGGGGCATCTGGGCAAGGCAAGCTCCCCCACCCCATGGCCGTGGTACTGGGGGCATCTGGGCAAGGCAAGCTCCCCCACCCCATGGCCGTGCAACTGGGGGCATCTGGGCACCCCCAGGCCAGTACTGCCCTGATACTGTCTGTTTGGTTCGTATCGTACGCCTTTCGATCTCTCTCCACCCCTGTCTTTCCCGTCTCCACTCTTTTCGTTTTCTTCCCATCAGATGGTAGTGCTGCACTCGGGCTGCCCGGACGTGCAGAGGGCACTGAGAGCACTGGCTACGGCACTGGTGGGATTGAAGGGATTTCTTGTCCTGCACCCACCCAAGCCCTTCCCCATCTGCTGCTCTCTGCTCTCTCCTTCTGCCCCTCTTCCGGCTGCCCGGACGTGCAGAGGGCACTGAGAGCACTGGCGAAGGCACTGGTGGGATTGAAGGGATTCCCTGTCCTGCACCCACGCAAGGCACTGCCCGCACCCCTTCAACCCCGCTTCCCTTCCCCTCCCGCAGATGGTAGTGCTGCACTCGGGCTGCCCAGACGTGCAGAGGGCTCGGCACTGGTGGGACTGAAGGGATTTCTTGTCCTGCACCCACCCCAAGCCGTGCCCCGTCTTCTGTTCTCCTTTCTCGCCTTCTGCCCCTCTTCCCCTCCCGCAGATGGTAGTGCTGCACTCGGGCTGCCCGGACGTGCAGAGGGCGCTGAGAGCATTGGCAAAGGCGCTGGTGGGGAGGAGAGTTGCACGGAACATGAAGGTAGGGGGAGATTGGGCATGAAACGAGCTGGTTTTTGAGAATTCTCAAAAACCAACATGAAGGTAGGGGGAGATTGGGCATGAAACTGAGTGGAATGTTGGTTAGCAAAACATGTGCAGAGGGCGCTGAGAGCACTGGCAAAGGCGCTGGTGGGGAGGAGAGTGGCTCGCAACATGAAGGTACGCACGTGGAGAGGAGACGAGATGAGGGTGCAGGGTGCATTGTAACAGTCCCTTGTTTTTTCCTGCCACTTTTCCTCTTGCTTCTCCTCTCTCTGTTTCCTCACCTTGCCGTTTTGAAGGTCACTGGGCAAGCACGTGTGCCGATAATAAATCCCATCCTCTCACTCCTCTCCTCTCACGCCTCTCCTCTCACTCCTTCCCCCCCTGCCTGCTTTCCCCCTTTTTCTTGCAGGTTATCGGGCAAGCACGTGTGCCGATCATCAAGTTCCTCCTTATCTCACTCCTCTCCCCTCCCCCTCCAACCTTTTCCTCCCCTACTGGCCATAGGGCAAGCATGTGTGCCCATCATCAAGTTCCTCCTTTTCCTCACTCCTCTCCCCTCCCCCTCCAACCTTTTCCTCCCCTACTGGCCATAGGGCAAGCACGTGTGCCCATCATCAAGTTCCTCCTTTTCCTCACTCCTCTCCCCTCCCCCTCCAACCTTTTCCTCCCCTACAGGTCATCGGGCAAGCACGTGTGCCCATCATCAAGTTCCTCCTTTTCCTCACTCCCCCTCCCCCTCCAACCTTTTCCTCCCCTACAGGTCATTGGGCAAGCACGAGTGCCGATCATCAAGTTCCTCTTCTCGCCCGCCTCACGCCTCTCACTCCTTCCCTTTCTTCCCGCCTCCAACCCCCACCCCCCCCCCTACAGGTCATCGGGCAAGCACGAGTGCCCATCATCAGGTTCCCCCTCTCCCTCGCTCCTCTCACACTCTCTCACTACTTCCCTCCCTGGTCGCGTCTCCTCCTGTTCTTGCAGGTCATCGGGCAAGCACGTGCGCACATCATCAAGTTCCTCCTTATCTCACTCCTCTCCCCTCCCCCTCCAACCTTTTCCTCCCCTACAGGCCATTGGGCAAGCACGTGTGCCGATTTTCAAGTTCCTCCTCTCCTTTTCCAGCCCCTTTCTATCTTTCTCTCTCTTCCCTTCTCTTCCTCTCTCTTTGCCCACCTCTCCCCCACTGCAGGTCATTGGAAAGCGCGTGTGCTGATTATCAAATCTCTCATCTCACTCACTCGCCCCCCCTCCTGCCTGCCTTCCCCCCTGCAGGTCATCGGGCAAGCACGAGTGCCGATCATCAAGTTCCTGGAGATTGAGAGTGGAGTGTCATTTGACATCAGGTGGGAGGGAGTGGAGTAAATGAGTGGGTGAGTGACGACACGTGTGCGTGTTTGCATGAGTGCATGCATGTGTGCGTGCGGGGGTGTGCCGATCATCAAGTTCCTGGAGATTGAGAGTGGATTGTCATTTGACTTGACATCAGGTGGGAGAGACGTAGTGCGTGAGTGAGTACACGTGTGTATGTATGTATGCGTGCATGTGTGTGCATCCGTGCCTGTGTTTATGCGCATCAGTGCACGTGTGCCGATCATCAAGTTCCTGGAGATGACCAGTGGAGTGTCGTTTGACATCAGGTGAGAGGGGTAGCGAGGGGGTGAGTGAGTACAAATATATGTGTGTGTGTGTGTGTGTGTGTGTGTGTGTGTGTGTGTGTGTGTGTGTGTGTGTGTGTGTGTGTGTGTGAGGGCGTGCGTGAGTGTGCGTGTGTCGATCATCAAGTTCCTGGAGATCGCCAGTGGGGTGTCGTTTGACATCAGTTGAGAGGGAGTGGAGAGTGAGGGAGTGAGTGAATGAAAGAGAGTGCATGAATGTGCATGTGTGCATCCATGCCTGTGTATGCGCATCAGTGCATGAGTGCCGATTATCAAGTTCTTGGAGATTGAGAGTGGAGTGGTGTTTGACATGAGGTGAGAGGGTGATTCTGGGAGTGGGGGAGTTAGCAATGAGTATATGTGTATGTATGATGCGTGTGCATGTGTGTATATGCGCATGTGTATGAGTGCACGTGTGCCGATCATCATGTTCCTGAAGATCGCCAGTGGAGTGGCGTTTGACATCAGTGGAGTGGCCTTTTTACTAATAACAGCACCCGCACTCGCACGCATGTGCATGTGCACTCGCAGCCCACCTTTTTACTAATAACAGCACCCGCACTCGCACGCATGTGCATGTGCACTCGCAGCCCACCTTTTTACTAATAACAGCACCCGCACTCGCACGCATGTGCATGTGCACTCGCAGCCCACCTTTTTACTAATAACAGCACCCGCACTCGCACGCATGTGCATGTGCACTCGCAGCCCACCTTTTTACTAATAACAGCACCCGCACTCGCACGCATGGTCATGTGCACTCGCAGCCCACCTTTTTACTAATAACAGCACCCGCACTCGCACGCATGTGCATGTGCACTCGCAGCCCACCTTTTTACTAATAACAGCACCCGCACTCGCACGCATGTGCATGTGCACTCGCAGCCCACCTTTTTACTAATAACAGCACCCGCACTCGCACGCATGTGCATGTGCACTCGCAGCCCACCTTTTTACTAATAACAGCACCCGCACTCGCACGCATGTGCATGTGCACTCGCAGCCCACCTTTTTACTAATAACAGCACCCGCACTCGCACGCATGTGCATGTGCACTCGCAGCCCACCTTTTTACTAATAACAGCACCCGCACTCGCACGCATGTGCATGTGCACTCGCAGCCCACCTTTTTACTAATAACAGCACCCGCACTCGCACGCATGTGCATGTGCACTCGCAGCCCACCTTTTTACTAATAACAGCACCCGCACTCGCACGCATGTGCATGTGCACTCGCAGCCCACCTTTTTACTAATAACAGCACCCGCACTCGCACGCATGTGCATGTGCACTCGCAGCCCACCTTTTTACTAATAACAGCACCCGCACTCGCACGCATGTGCATGTGCACTCGCAGCCCACCTTTTTACTAATAACAGCACCCGCACTCGCACGCATGTGCATGTGCACTCGCAGCCCACCTTTTTACTAATAACAGCACCCGCACTCGCACGCATGTGCATGTGCACTCGTAGCCCACCTTTTTCCTAATAACAGCACCCGCACTCGCACGCATGTGCATGTGCACTCGCAGCCCACCTTTTTACTAATAACAGCACCCGCACTCGCACGCATGTGCATGTGCACTCGCAGCCCACCTTTTTACTAATAACAGCACCCGCACTCGCACGCATGTGCATGTGCACTCGCAGCCCACCTTTTTACTAATAACAGCACCCGCACTCGCACGCATGTGCATGTGCACTCGTAGCCCACCTTTTTCCTAATAACAGCACCCGCACTCGCACGCATGTGCATGTGCACTCGCAGCCCACCTTTTTACTAATAACAGCACCCGCACTCGCACGCATGTGCATGTGCACTCGCAGCCCACCTTTTTACTAATAACAGCACCCGCACTCGCACGCATGTGCATGTGCACTCGCAGCCCACCTTTTTACTAATAACAGCACCCGCACTCGCACGCATGTGCATGTGCACTCGCAGCCCACCTTTTTACTAATAACAGCACCCGCACTCGCACGCATGTGCATGTGCACTCGCAGCCCACCTTTTTACTAATAACAGCACCCGCACTCGCACGCATGTGCATGTGCACTCGCAGCCCACCTTTTTACTAATAACAGCACCCGCACTCGCACGCATGTGCATGTGCACTCGCAGCCCACCTTTTTACTAATAACAGCACCCGCACTCGCACGCATGTGCATGTGCACTCGCAGCCCACCTTTTTACTAATAACAGCACCCGCACTCGCACGCATGTGCATGTGCACTCGCAGCCCACCTTTTTACTAATAACAGCACCCGCACTCGCACGCATGTGCATGTGCACTCGCAGCCCACCTTTTTACTAATAACAGCACCCGCACTCGCACGCATGTGCATGTGCACTCGCAGCCCACCTTTTTACTAATAACAGCACCCGCACTCGCACGCATGTGCATGTGCACTCGCAGCCCACCTTTTTACTAATAACAGCACCCGCACTCGCACGCATGTGCATGTGCACTCGCAGCCCACCTTTTTACTAATAACAGCACCCGCACTCGCACGCATGTGCATGTGCACTCGCAGCCCACCTTTTTACTAATAACAGCACCCGCACTCGCACGCATGTGCATGTTCACCCGCACGCATGTGCATGTTCACTCGCACGCATGTGCATGTTCACTCGCACGCATGTGCATGTTCACTCGCACGCATGTGCATGTTCACTCGTGTTAGAATATAGCATAATGTATGTTTATATTTGTGCATGTGTTACACCCTAAAGTGGGTGTACACTTTGGGTCAAGGCGACCCAACCAATTTTGGTTGGGCGCCCCCAAACCCAACTCGACCGCAATTGACGGGGGGGGGGGCAATAATGGTCCCCTCCAACGATTGTTGGTTACCCCAGCAATTGTTGGTCGACCCAATCTGATTGGTCCACCAATAAATGCTGAGGGTACCCCACTTCGTTCCCAAAACTTCTCATCTCCTATATGTACCGACACTCTTTCTAATCAAGACAACACTTGAGATTCTTTCATGGTATTCAGAGCCAATTGGCAAACGCCCCTCTCGACCTCTTTCTCTCAAGTTTTTTTTTCCTCCCCGCTCGTCAGGACCCTTCCGTCCTGCCCATGCAACTTGTTGCGTGGGTTTGACTTGGTTGAAGTTCAATCTTCCGTAAAGTACAACCAGTCACCACCTCCCTCCAGCTCCTACTCTATCTCTCGTAAGGCGAATTTCTCGCCTCAGCTCCTGCCGCCGCATTTACGTTCTCAGCTGCCGGCGTCTCAATCGCCGCGACCTATCCGCCGTCGCCACTACTCTCGCACCGCTTTTCTTCCTTGCGGGGCATTTCGCCGCCGCCGCCGCTGCTTCACTCGCCGCGGGGCATTTCGCCGCCGCCGCCACTGTTCCCACTCGCCGCGGGGCATTTCGCCGCCGCCGCCACTGCTCCCACTCGCCGCGGGGCATTTCGCCGCCGCCGCCACTGCTCCCACTCGCCGCGGGGCATTTCGCCTCCGCCGCCACTACTCCACTCGCCGCGGGGCATTTCGCCGCCGCCGCCACTGCTCCCACTCGCCGCGGGGCATTTCGCCGCCGCCGCCTCTGCTCCCACTCGCCGCGGGGCATTTCGCCGCCGCCGCCACTGCTCCCACTCGCCGCGGGGCATTTCGCCTCCGCCGCCACTTCTCCCACTCGCCGCGGGGCATTTCGCCTCCGCCGCCACTACTCCACTCGCCGCGGGGCATTTCGCCGCCGCCGCCACTGCTCCCACTCGCCGCGGGGCATTTCGCCGCCGCCGCCACTGCTCCCACTCGCCGCGGGGCATTTCGCCTCCGCCGCCTCTACTCACTCGCTGCGGGCAATTTGCCGCCGCCACTGCCTCTCCTCGCTGCAAGACACTTCGCCGCGGCTGCTCCTACTCTCCCTCGCCGCCAGGCACTTAGCTACTGCCTCATCTCTTCCTCCCCGCCGCTCCTCGCACGCATGTGCATGTTCACTCGCACGCATGTGCATGTTCACTCGCACGCATGTGCATGTTCACTCGCACGCATGTGCATGTTCACTCGCACGCATGTGCATGTTCACTCGCACGCATGTGCATGTTCACCCGCACGCATGTGCATGTTCACCCGCACGCATGTGCATGTTCACCCGCACGCATGTGCATGTTCACCCGCACGCATGTGCATGTTCACCCGCACGCATGTGCATGTTCACCCGCACGCATGTGCATGTTCACCCGCACGCATGTGCATGTTCACTCGCACGCATGTGCATGTTCACTCGCACGCATGTGCATGTTCACTCGCACGCATGTTCCTGAACCAGAAATTGCCAGGTTTACTCCAGTTTTGAGATGTCTGAAGAACTACCCGGCCCTCTCCTGCCCCTTTCCTCCTCTTTATCTTTGTCTGAATGCCCGGCCCTCCTCCCCCTCTTGCCCCTTTCCTCCTCTTTATCTTTGTCTGAATGCCCGGCCCTCTTCCCCCTCCTGCCCCTTTCCTCCGTCTCTTTATCTGAATGCTCTTGGCAGTTTCGATACGTCCAACGGACCTGAGACTGCCAAGTTCATCCTAGCTCTGCCCCACCCTCCCCTCCCCTCCCCTTCCTTCCCCTCCCCTCCCCTTCCTTCCCCTCCCCTCCGCCCCCCCGAACTTGCTCCTCCCAGTTTCGAAACGTCCAACGGACCAGAGACTGCCAAGTTCATCCGGGTAAGTTCCCCTTGCAATCCCTTCTTCTTGTTCCCCTTGCAATTTGCTCTTCTTTGAAAAAAGGGCACGGATCAAGTGAGAAAGGAGGGGAGGGAGGGAAAATGGAATTGCACCAGAGCGGTGGTATGTGTCAATCCTTTTTCCGCACTTCCTCTCCTCGTTCCTCCTTCCCTCTCTCAGAACTCCATGAAAGCCATGCCAGCGCTGCTTTTGAGTCGACTCAAAAGCAGAACTCCATGAAAGCCATGCCAGCGCTGCACCGCATATCCCTCGTGCTCAAGCACTTCCTGCACCAGACGGTTGCTTGATGCGTCTGAAAAGTATATCTCATCTCTGCTCCTTGTTCCTTCCTTCCTTCTCCTCCTCCTTCTCCTCCTACATTCCCTCACCCAGAAATCCATGAAGGCCATGCCAGCATTGTTTTGAGACGTCTCAAAACACTTCTTTATACACATGAAGGCCATGCTGGCATTGTTTTGAGACGTCTCAAAACACTTCTTCATACACATGAAGGCCATGCCAGCGCTGCGCCCCGTCTCGCTCGTGCTCAAGCTCTTCTTGCAGCAGAGGGTTGAGTGATTGAAGCATCTCAAGTCTATCTCCCACCTCTTCCCTGTTCCTTATCTTCCGTCCCCCTACACAGAAATCAATGAAGGCCATGCCAGCGCTGCGCCCCGTCTCGCTCGTGCTCAAGCTCTTCTTGCACCAGGCGGTCGAACGAGACGACCCAAGCCTTGTTTTGTACTCCTCTCCCATTCTCTGGCTGTTCCTTCTTCTCTTGCCCCCCCTACACAGAAATCCATGAAGGTCATGCCAGCGCTGCGCCCTATCTCTCTCGTGCTCAAGCTTTTTCTCCAGCAGAGGGGGGGTTGGGTTTAGCTGTCTCAACAACCCAACCCTTGTTTGCTTTCCCTTCCTCTGTTGCTCAATGTCTTGTCACCCCTTATCCAGAAATCCATGAAGGCCATGCCAGCACTCCGTCCTATCTATCTCGTGCTCAAGCTCTTCCTCCAGCAGAGGGTTGATTGAATGACACGTCTCAATCATCGTTTGCATTTGGTTCCTCCCTACCTTCTTGTCTTGCCCCCGTCTTTTCTCAGAAATCCATGAAGGCCATGCCAGCGCTGCACCCCATATCCCTCGTGCTCAAGCTCTTTTTCGCATGCAGCAGAGGGTTTTTCCAATGAGAATTCTCAAAAAACACGCGCTGCAACACATTTCCCTCCCACGTATGAGAATTCTCTATCCAACACTCTTTCGCATTCCGTTTTCTGTACCCACTTGTCTTGCCCCCCCTACACAGAAATCCATGAAGGCCATGCCAGCACTGCGACCCATCTCTCTGGTGCTCAAGCTTTTTCTCCAGCAGAGGGGCCTCAACGAGGTGTTCACAGGGGGGATCGGCTCGTACGCCCTGCTGGTCATGATCATGGCACATCTACAGGTGTGTGGTAAGGGGTTGCAATGTGTACTTTGCGGTGCAGTGCGGTGCAGCGCAGTGCTCTGCGCCTCATCTCCCTGGTGCTGCTGAAGCTCTTCCTGCAGCAGAGGGGCCTCAACGAGGTGTTCACAGGGGGCATCGGCTCGTACGCCCTGCTGGTCATGATCATGGCACACCTACAGGTGGGTTCTTTGGGGTTACAAGCTGTCCTGTGCGGTGCAGTGCAGTGCTGCATAGTGCACTGCGCTCCATATCCCTCGTGTTGAAGCTTTTTCTGCAGCAGAGGGGCCTCAACGAGGTTTTCACTGGAGGAATTGGGTCGTACGCCCTGCTGGTCATGATCATGGCGCTCTTACAGGTGTGTGGTAAGGGGTTGCAATGTGTACTCTGCGGTGCAGTGCGGTGCAGCGCAGTGCACTTCGATCCATCTCCCTGGTGTTCAAGCTCTTCATGCAGCAGAGGGGCCTCAACGAGGTGTTCACAGGGGGGATTGGGTCGTATGCGCTCCTAGTCATGATCATGGCACACTTACAGGTGGGTTCTTTGGGGTTACAAGCTGTCCTGTGTTGAAGCTCGTGCTGCAGCAGAGGGGCCTTAACGAGGTGTTCACAGGAGGAATTGGCTCGTACGCCCTTCTAGTCATGGTCATGGCGCATCTACAGGTGTGTGGTAAGGGGTTGCAATGTGTACTCTGCGGTGCAGTGCGGTGCAGCGCAGTGCACTGCGCCCCATCTCCCTGGTGTTCAAGCTCTTCCTGCAGCAGAGGGGCCTCAACGAGGTGTTCACAGGAGGCATCGGCTCGTACGCCCTTCTAGTCATGATCATGGTGCATCTTCAGGTGTGGTAGGGGGTTACAAGCTGTATGTACTGTGCAGTGCAGAGTTGACCTTTGAGTCGACTCAAAAGTCAAGCTGTATGTACTGTGCAGTGCAGTGCAGCAGAGGAGAGCACAGTGCAGCGCCCCATCTCCCTGGTGTTAAAGCTCTTCCTGCAGTACAGGGGCCTCAACGAGGTGTTCACGGGAGGCATTGGCTTGTACGCCCTTCTAGTCATGATCATGGCGCACTTACAGGTGCGTGGTAAGGGGTTACAATGTGTACTCTGCGGTGCAGTGCGGTGCAGCGCAGTGCCCGCCCCATATCCCTCGTCTTGAAGCTCTTCCTCCAGCAGAGGGGCCTCAACGAGGTGTTCACGGGAGGCATCGGCTCGTATGCCCTTCTAGTCATGATCATGGCACAACTACAGGTGGGTCCTTTGGGGTTACAAGCTGTCCTGTGCGGTGCAGTGCAGTGCAGCACAGTGCGTTGACCTGCATATCCCTTGTGTTGAAGCTCTTCATGCAGCAGAGGGGCCTCAACGAGGTGTTCACAGGAGGGATTGGCTCGTACGCCCTGCTGGTCATGATCATGGCTCACCTGCAGGTGGGTTCTTTGGGGTTACAAGCTGTCCTGTGCGGTGCAGTGCAGTGCAGCACGACACAACGCACTGCGCCCACATATCCCTCGTGCTGAAGCTCTTCCTTCCTGCAGCAGAGGGGCCTCAACTCAACGAGGTGACCACAGGAGGGATTGGTTCCTCTACTACCCTCCTAGTCATGGTCATGGTATGTTTTTTGAGAATTCTCAAAAAACATACCCTCCTAGTCATGGTCATGGTATGTTTCTTGAGAATTCTCAAAAAACATACCCTACTCCTAGTCATGGTCATGACACACCTGCAGGTGCGTCCTCTCCTCATACTGTGCCTGAAGAACGGATGTGCTCGTATGCCAGCCTGGTTATGATCGTGGCACACACTGAACCGGAAGTCACGTGTAGAGAAGAGAGGGTTTTTTTGAGACGTCTCAAAAGGCAAGGCACCTCGGATGCCCTCCTGGTGAGTTTTGAGTCGACTCAAAGGCAAGGCACCTCGGATGCCCTCCTGGTTATGATCATGGCATGGCACACACTGCCCCGGAATCATGAACCTTTTGTTCTTTTTGAGGTGACTTTTGAGTCGACTCAAAAGAGGTGGCTTTTGAGTCGACTCAAAAGTAACCATGAACCTCTTGTTTTATTGGTTTAACGAGGGGGCTCAAATGAATTGGAATCCCTCTATCCCTTCCCTCCGTGCCTCCTCCCTTCCTCTTGCAGATCCACCACAGCCGCTTTTCAAGCGGCAAGCTAGAACAGAACCTGGGCGTACTGCTGGCGAGTGCAGCAGCAAGCAAAGAAGTGCTGTTGTGGGTGCGATAACCCGCCTCCCTCCCCCTTTCCCTTTTGTGCCTCTTCCCTCCACCCGTTGTTCTATGCAGACCCACCACAGCCGCTTTTCAAGTGGGAAGCTAGAGCAGAACCTGGGCGTGCTGCTGGTGAGTGAGTGAGTGAGTGAGTGAGTGAGTGAGCGAGTGAGTGCGGTGTGGGGTGTCATTAGTGAGTCCTCCTTTCTATATGCAGAACCAGCACGACCGCTTTTCTAGCTGCGAGCTAGAGCAGAAGAACCTGGGCGCCCTGCTGGTGAGTCCCTTTATGCACCTGGGCGCTTTGCTTAGGTATTGAGCTGCTTCTGTGGCTCTTTTGATGAAACACAACCTAGTTGCTTTTCAAGCGAGGTCGTTTCAGGTCAGAACAGAGTCTGTGCGTCCTGCTGGTGAGTCCCTCAATACACCCTGTCGCTTTGCCTTGGTTTTGAGCTGCTGCCGTGCCGCGGCTCTTTCGATGTAACACAACCTGGTTGCTTATCAAGCGAGGCCGTTTCGTTTTCATTCAAGCTAGAGCAGAACCTGAGGAGAATCTCTTCTCTAGTCGTATCGCTGGCGAGGAGATTGCAACAAGGTCCTGTTAGAGTGCGGTGTTATTAGTGTAGTGAGGTTCCTACTAATGAGGGATGCTTTAGGGCGTACACTTGTGGTCATGGTAGGGTGGAATGGAATCACAACGCGTCTGGCACAGCACATGCAGTATGCATGCTCCCTCCCTCCCTTGATTTGACTTCTTCCATCTGTGGCCCGCATGGCCCACCCATCTCTCACGCACCTTAGGGCGTGTCACCTCCAACTTCAAGATCGTCGCACGTTCGAACGGGCGACGGGTTTCCACCAGTGTCGTTTTTCCTTGTGAAAGTGTCTCAAAAAGCTCGGCACAGGGGCATCAATGATTCAAGCAAACTCCTGTGCTTGCTTGTCTTTGAGACGTCTCAAAAACACCCTCTCTACACGTGACATCTCAAAAAGCTCAGCACAGGGGCATCAATGCTTCAAGCAAACACCTGTGCTTGCTTGTCTTTGAGACGTCTCAAAAACACCCTCTCTACACGTGACATCTCAAAAAGCTCAGCACAGGGGCATCAATGCTTCAAGCAAACACCTGTGCTTGCTTGTCTTTGACACGTCTCAAAAACACCCTCTCTACACGTGACATCTCAAAAAGCTCAGCACAGGGGCATCAATGCTTCAAGCAAACACCTGTGCTTGCTTGTCTTTGACACGTCTCAAAAACACCCTCTCTACACGTGACATCTCAAAAAGCTCAGCACAGTGGCATCAATGCTTCAAGCAAACACCTGTGCTTGCTTGTCCCTCGGCTGTCATCTCCCACCCCTCCCTCCTCCCTCTCGCAGATTGACTTTTTCCATCTGTACGGCCGTGGCCTCAACACGACAGATGTGGTGGATGGCATGAGTGTGCCTGCTACCTTGCTTCCGCCTGCCGTGTTCTCACAATCCCCCACTCCCTTGCTCCATGTCGTTCCCCCTCGCAGATTGACTTGTTCCATCTGTACGGCCGTGGCCTCAACACAATAGACGTGGGGGTGTGAGCCCTTCAAATCAAACAACACCTTTGCTCCTTTGCATCATAATTCCCACAACCCCCCCCCCTCTTCCGTTTTGCAGATTGACTTTTTCCACTTGTACGGGCGTGGCCTGAACACAATAGACGTGGGAGTGTCGGCGCGGCATGGGGGGAGGTTCTTCGTCAAGAGGGATAGAGGGTGAGCAGTGTGGCATGGGGTCAATGCCAGTCAATGGTTGGTGTCAGTCAATGGTGGTCAACGCCAGTCAATGCTGTTCAATGTCAGTCAAAGCTGGTCATGGCCCCTCAACACAGCAGATGTGGGAGTGTCGGCGCGACATGGGGGGAGATTCTTCGTCAAGAGGGATAGAGGGTGAGTGAGTGATGTGGGGTCAATCCCTCTCCATAGTGTTTATGCCAGTCAACAGTGGTCAACGCCAGTCAATGCTGGTCGTGGCCCATCAACACAGCAGATGTAGGGGTGTCGGATCGGCATGGGGGGAGATTCTTCGTCAAGAGGGATAGAGGGTGAGCAGTGTGGATGGAGTCAGTGTCAGTCAATGCTGGTCAATAATAGTCAATGCTGGTCAATGATAGTCAATGCTGGTCAATAATTGTCAATGCTGGTCAATGATAGTCAATGCTGGTCAATAATTGTCAATGCTGGTCAATGATAGTCAACGCTGGTCAATGATAGTAATGGTAGTCAATGATAGTCAACGCTAGTCAACTCGCTTTACCTTTTCTCTTCTTGTTCCCCCCTCGTCCCAGCATGGTACAGTACAGCAGAATCGCTTCATGCTGGCAGTGGAGGATCCGCAGATGCTGGTCAATGCCGGTCAATGCCAGTTTCAATGCCAGTCAATGCCAGTCAATGCTAGTCAATGCCTGCACTTAATCGCTTATTCCTCCTTGTTCTTTCCCAACCCCAGCATGGTGCAGCAGAATCGCTTCATGCTGGCAGTGGAGGATCCCCAGATGCCCAGCAACGACCTGAGCAGGGGCAGCCACAACATCCACAATGTAAGGGCATTGACTGGCATTGACTGGCATTGACTGGCATTGACTGTCATCGGTGGATCCCCAGATGCCGTCCAACGACCTCAGCAGGGGCAGCCACAACATTCACAATGTAAGGGGCGGGGAAGGAGAAAGAAGAGGATAAGATAAGGGCATGATAGAGCAACACAGTGCTGCTGGCGGTAGAAGATCCCCAGCTGCCGTCCAACGACCTGAGCAGGGGCATCCACACCATCCACCATGTAAGGGCAGGAGAAGGAGAACAGCTACTACCTCCTTTGTGCTTCTCGTTGCCTCAAAATCACTCCTGTGCCTCCTCTCTCCTCCCTCCCCCCAGGTCCGCCTTGCCTTCCAGCGAGCCCACTACCTCCTCACCACGCCCAGTCTCCCCTCCTACCAGCAATCAGTTGTTCTTCTTCTCCTAGCCTCTGAACTAAACCACTCCTGTGACTCACCTCTCCTCCCTCCCTTCCCCCCAGGTCCGCCTTGCCTTCCAGCGAGCTCACTACCTGCTCACCACGCCCACACTCCTTTAGTACTGAGGCGCCTCTTACAAACTTTCCCTTCTTCCTGCCTTTCTCTCTCCCCCACCAGGTTCGCCTCGCCTTTCAGCGAGCCCACTACCTGCTCACCACACCCACACTCCTTTAGTACTGAGGCGCCTCTTACAAACTTTCCCTTCTTCCTGCCTTTCTCTCTCCCCCACCAGGTTCGCCTCGCCTTTCAGCGAGCCCACTACCTGCTCACCACACCCACACTCCTTTAGTACTGAGGCGCCTCTTACAAACTTTCCCTTCTTCCTGCCTTTCTCTCTCCCCCACCAGGTTCGCCTCGCCTTTCAGCGAGCCCACTACCTGCTCACCACACCCACACTCCTTTAGTACTGAGGCGCCTCTTACAAACTTTCCCTTCTTCCTGCCTTTCTCTCTCCCCCACCAGGTTCGCCTCGCCTTTCAGCGAGCCCACTACCTGCTCACCACACCCACACTCCTTTAGTACTGAGGCGCCTCTTACAAACTTTCCCTTCTTCCTGCCTTTCTCTCTCCCCCACCAGGTTCGCCTCGCCTTTCAGCGAGCCCACTACCTGCTCACCACACCCACACTCCTTTAGTACTGAGGCGCCTCTTACAAACTTTCCCTTCTTCCTGCCTTTCTCTCTCCCCCACCAGGTCCGCCTTGCCTTTCAGCGAGCTCACTACCTGCTCACCACGCCCACACTCCCTACCTCCAGTCGCTCTCAATCTCAAACCAATGCTGCTGGTGCTGCTTCTACTTCTGCCAGCAGTGCCAGCGGCAGCCTGCTGGCTAGGCTGATACGTCTTGAGTCAGCCATTGCGAATAGACCGCCCCCACCTAGAATGGTGCCGCCACCACTTGTGGGAAACCGTGGAATGGGGAGTGATAGTGCTGCTGCCACTGCTGCCGCTGCTGCCGCTGCTGTTGGCACTGCTATTGCTGCTGGTGGTGCTTCTGCTGCTGGCAGTACTGCTGCCACTGCTCCTGCTGCTGCTGCGGTCAAGGCTAAGAAAGGAAGAAAGAAGAAGGATGTTGCAGCAGCCGCTGCGACGGAGGGAAATGAAGCAACAGCAGCAGCATTGGAAGGGCCAACAGAAGGGGTTGGCCTGCGCGAGAAGAAGACTAAGAAGGGGAGGCGGGGCGAGAAGAGTGAGGAAAGGAAGGATGGTGGGTTGAAGCAGGGTGGAGTGATAAGCAGCTGTGATGCAGAAAGGGAGGGGCAAGCAGAAGCGGTTGGCCTGGGCGAGAAGAAGACAAAGAAGGGGAGGCGGGGCGAGAAGGGTGAGGAAGGGAAGAATGGTGGGTTGAAGCAGGTTGAATTGGTAGAAGAGGCGGAGGATTCGGGTGAAATGAAGAGAAAAGGGGCCAAGAAGGAAAGGAGAGAGAAGGAAAGGAGAGCGAAGGAGGAGGGAGAGAAGGGAAGGGAGGATATAGAGGGGAGTGGTGGTGCTGAGAGGATGGACGGTGGGGAGGATGTGGGTGTGCAGAGTGTGGGTGGGGAGAGGAAAGAGAGGAAGGGAAAGAAGCGGAAGGTGTTAGTAGATGAGACGCAGGCTGAGGAGAGGGAGGAGAGGGAGGAAGAAGGGGAGGGAGTTGAAGCGGAGGAGAAGAAGAATGGGTTTAAAGAGATGGCGGAAAGGGATGAGGGGATGGAAGAGAGGGAGGATTTGGAGGAAGAGGGGAGGGAGGATAGGGAGGAAAGGGCAGATGGAGGAACAAAACAGGAGGGGGAGGAGAGGGAGGAGAGAGCGCGAAATGGGAAGGGCAAGAGAGTGAGGGAGGGGAAGAGAAAGAGGGATGAAAAGAAGAGGCTGCGGGAGGAGACTCAGAAGGAAGCAGTCGAAAACAATGCAGCTGAGACAGGAGGAGAAGGGGTTGCAGAGCGGTCAAGAATGGTGGTGAGGGAGAGAGATGGCAGTTTGGAGGTGAGAGGAGTGGAGAGTTTGAGGGGAGGAGATGAGGAAGAGAGCCTTCCTAGAGGGGGGGGCAAGGCGAGTGGTGTTGGTGGTGATGATGATGAGGGCGAGGGTGGGAGGCGGAAACGGAAGAGGGAGAAGCGGGGGCGAGCGTTCATGGATATGCTAGGAGTGAGTGATAATGGCAGCAAGTGATGAGGTAGGGGCAAGAGGGGTGAGAGGGGCGGGTGGGAACGTAGGAGGGAGAAGCGGGGGCGAGCGTTCACGGAGATGTTGGGAGTGAACGATAATGGCTGCAAGTGATGAGTTGGGGACACGAGGACCAGCGATGGTGGTGGTGATGATGAGGGGGTGAGGGTGGCAGGCAGGCAGAAACGCAAGAGGGAGCAGCGAGGCCAAATGTGATAATGCTGCACTAAGTTGATGGTACTACGACCAGGCTGTGAGGACCGCCCCACCTTGGATTGCCATATCTACCACTCGTCACGGTGTTGAACGCTAACCACCAAGACCTGGTGGTGACCTGTTTGGCGGGTGGCAGTGATTCAGCTCATGTAAGAATGGGAATGCAGTGATACCGGTAATGGATGAGATTTTGTTTCAAGACCAACCTAGCTTGGATGCAGTAGTTGTCCTTGTTTTTTTATGCACGTATCAAAACATTGCTGTGTGCATTGTAGAGTCGAATCGTACTCATTGTAGAGTTGAATGCAAAGCATTTGAACGATCCCCCTTTCAGTAAGAGCGTGTTCCTACGGATCCCTATCAGGCTAATAACCCCTTGTCAGGCTGGTGCATGCGAGCGATTTCGTTATTAAGGGCGTATTCCTACCAGGGGTTTTTTTATCAAAGTAAATTACTCTGTTTCTCTGAAAATCAGAGTGGTTTTTAGGGGGTCACTCTGACGTGTCTGGGTAATTTTTTTGGAAGATAAGTTTTCTCTGATTTGTCAGGGTTCTGATTTTAGCTACTCTGAGAGACAAGTGTATATTTGTGGCGAATGTATTTTTCTCTGTACAGTGGATAGGCATTTCGACCGAGTCCCCCCCCCCCAATTGGTGGAAGATGGTTAGTCAAACTAACTACGGCTATAAAAATTTCCGGCAGAGCGTTGGATAGGAAGCGTGTAGCACAACGGTTATAGTTTTGGTAGGAGTGCAGTAGGCCTGGGTTCAATACTTGAGAGGACACTGTAAAATGGATAAACCAGCTCCCTGATTGCCCAAAGTATATTTTTCAGAAGTTAAGTTTTCTCTGACAAATCGGAGTAACTCTCATAATGAACCCTGAATTTCAGAGTTCCCTAGAAAACAGCTCTGGAAATCAGAGTAGTGAAAATCCAAAAAAAAACCCTGATTCCTACGGCCTCCTATCAAGAAACCTCCTATCAAGATTGTACCTTTTGCCTGGTAAAAGTAGCGAGAGATTTTGGGTTTAGGGAATTTTCCAGTGAGAGCTTGATAGGAGGTTTTCTTGATAGGAGGATAGGAATACGCCCTAACACCGTTTTCCAGACTTGAAAAATTACAATGCTGTTCGATGAATTGGTCGAGCGAAATCTTTGATACGTGTTGTTCAGTGACCCTTGTCAGGCAATCGCGCGAAATCTTTCGCAGGTGCTGTTTCAGCGAGCCATGGTCAGGGAATCGTGCGAAATTCTTCACACATGCTGTTTTGTCGGGTATGAAACATACAAAGAATTTTCCGTCAAACACACGTTTCAATCGCCTGGAATTTGTCTAAACTCAGATTTTTTTTCCTTTGCAACCTTTCGGGACCAGGGCTGTCGCTTGCATGGCGTTTGCCCTGCTAGACCTTGAATTCCAGGGCTGGGTTGCCCTTGAAAACTGAAATTGATGGGTTGGAAATATCCTGGCCCTGATTCTTTACAGGGCTGATTTTGGGCTCAGGCCTGGTGTGTAAAGGGCAGAATTTAGGCGAGCCCTGGAACAAAATCTTTCGAGACCCCCCTTCCCCTCCCCTCCCCCCCCATAACACTCCTCCCTCTCCTCTCCCCTTCGTTTCTGACCTGATTGCATCCAACAAGGCAAATTTCGAGTTGCTTGGTTGGGCCACAAATTCAACTCAACCTAGAACTTGTGCTTAAACCAATCACAGCTCGCTCTCTGTGGAGTGGGTAGACGGTTAAGGTTGGGTAGAAGTGCACAAGAACTACCCTGAAGGTTGGGTAGTAGAAGTGCAGACGATCATCGGTTCTGCAAAAGCTAGGAAGCCTGCAAAGCGTGCGTAGTGATATGACGCTAACTTTTTCTCTTTATGTCGTGTTTGCTTGCTTGTGGTTCATCTCAAACGTAGTTGTAAGCTTGGTAGTTTAAATGAGGCTCCCGATTTTTTCGCGCCAAACTTGATTCAAGGAAGGAAATTTTTCCAGCCCTGAAGCCTAAAGGGCCGAGATTCGCCCCAACCCTGCTAAATACAGGGTCATACATGCCGGGCCCCCTGATTTGTCCGGGGGGGCCAAAACGAAACGACAGGCCTGTTCGGGACCGTTGTGCAGTGCCACGTCACCCAACGCATTTTGTCGTGCACTTCACAAACGATCAAAACATCTAAGAGCGTGTCCGAAGTGAAGCGTCGAATGGATGTCGATGGATGTTGGTAAATGTCAACCCTCGGATCGAGAGTTCCAACCGTCAGGATTTACCGACATCGGATGTCAACGGATGTCGACTTCACTTCGGACCCGCCCTAATACAAAATGCGTTTTACAAGGGGCTGGCCCGATAGGGGCCTGTAGGAACACGCTCTAAGTTGAAAACACTTTCGTGTAAGCTTTTAGAGGTAATTCGGGTCCTGCAACGATTTTTGTGTGAGACTTGAAATCTGACACATTCACCGTGTCAGATACCGGTATTCGTTCTGACACCCAGTCGCATGAGCTTTGCACGGATCGACGGTTTTTTTTGCTACAGATTTTACACCCCCACTCCAAATTCGCTTGTACATCTTAAAGCCCGCGGCCCAAATTGCAAGCCGCGCGTGTCAAGCTTTTAAAACATGACGCCCTGGCCCTCGGGTTACCAAGTACCAGGGAGACAGTAGGCCGCGCGACACAACAGAGGTTGTGAACCAATGAGAACACACCACCCTGAGGTAGTGAACCAATGAAATGGAACACGGATGTCTTCCGTCGCATACTAGGGTGGAGAAGAAATTGCCTTGCCAACACTCACCCAAAAACTTGAAAACGTCGTGCGCAATTTGGGACTTCAGCACACAAATAACCTCCCAGCTGCCAACTGAGTCGTACCATCGACCCACACACAACTTCGTGCAGAAACGTCCATGGCACCCGCCTACGTACGATTTGTCGACATTTCGACAGAAAATGGCGCGCAACCAGCGGAAACTAGGGTTATGTACAGCTCTGACATCGGCAGTTTCAAGGTTATAGCGCAGATCGCAACTCTAGACAGCATTTGTGGCGATGGGAGGAATCTCCGTGTCAGTCGTCATAGCCATAGTAAACACTGTTAGAATCTAGCAGCAGGAATGATTGAACTATGAAAGAGTTGGGTACAAGTATGAAACCCTAAAACGGGCTGTACCCTATATTGGCTACCCCACTACAGCATAGACATATATAGCAGATATAACATTTGACACACCCCCATAGGCAAAGTGGGGGAGAGCAAGGGGTCACAAGATCAGTCAAGAGAACCAAAGCAAGCTCAGGGTGGATCACAACGTCACCACACATACTGAGCACAAGCAAAGGGCCACAATGCCAGTTCACATGCAGAGGTTAAAAACGCAACAACAACAGTGCATTGATCTCTACCTAGCACAGCAGGCATGCAGGTATATATATATGTAGATCACAGTACAAGCAAAGTCTACAGCAAGTGAGGCAAAGTGGGCACAAGGCCTAACAAAGTGCAGAAACGATAATGATCACCAGACGGAAGTGCCTTGGTGAATATATCAGCAGTGTTGGCCCGAATGGCCACGTGAGCAAGACGAAGCTGACCACGCTGCTGCAACTCTCGAGCCAGGAAGTAACGCAGAGCGATGTGCTTCGTTCTGTGCTCCAGTTTGTGCTCCTGACACAAGGCAATGGCGGCCTTGTTGTCAACGTACAGCACTGGAGGACAACGAGGCCGCTCTCCCAAGTCGGTCAGCAGGTAGGTGAGCCAGCGTAACTCCTGTGCAGCCATGGTTGTGGCGTAGATCTCAGCCTCACAACTGGAGCTGAGAACAAAAGACGAGCGTGTAGAACGCCAAGAAAATGAACCAGAGCCAAGGCTGAAGGTGTAACCCTATGACGACCGCTGTGTAGCCTAGTCGTCAACCCAAGAAGCGTCTGAGTGCCCAGTGAGGACAATTGAGCTCCTCCCTCCAAGCACGAGCCCCATGCCCGATGTACCGCACAAGTAGCGCAGTACCCTCTTTGCAGCATGCATGTGCACCTTTCGGTGCCGACCAGGAGCCACGTAGCGAGCCAGAAGGCCAAGAGGGTACGCAAGGTCAGGTCGAGTGCAGGTCATCAGGTACATGAGTCAGCCCACTAGTCCGGGGTATGGACCACTCGGCTCTACGGACTCGTCCGAAGGTGGAGCTGAGAGCGAGTGGCCTGTAGCCAGAGGAGTGTGCTGTGGCAAGGACCAGGTGAAGCCGAAGCGCTGAAGGACCTGCTGCACCATGTGTGACTGAGTCAGTGTGATGGTGCGGCGTGCTCTGTCCCGGGTGATCTGCAAGCCAAGGTAGCTGCGCAGTTCACCCATGTCTGTGCACGTGTGTCTCTTCTGCAGCTCCGACTTCACCAGGGCGAGAGCCTCAGTGTCAGCAGTGGTAAAGACCAAGTCGTCGACGTACACGAGGATGTAGAACGGCGGCAGCGACGTGTCGTTGCGCAGAAACAGCGACGGGTCAGCAGTCGACGGAGCAAACCCAAGAGCCGCAAGTGTAGTCCTCAGTGTGTCGTGCCACTCACGTGGTGCCTGGCGGAGACCGTAGACTGGCCGCCGTGTGAAAGAACGAGGAATGAATGCACTAAGAAAGAGGTGGGTACAAGTAGGAAAACCTAAAAGTGTTTTACCCCATATTGTCTACCCCACTACAGCCTACACAGACTATAGCATATAAGTTTGACACACCCCCATATGCAAAGTGGGGGAGAACAAGAGGTCACAGGACCAGTCAAGCAAAGCACAGTAAGCTCAGGGTGGATCACA